TTCAAGAGTAGAAAACAACAACCAATTTTATCTGTCTATATTTCTGAGATGAGGTATTATGTACATTATTTACATTATTCGGACTATTGTCCTCATCTTTGTCGCCATATTTATCACAACGTTTCGGCCGTTGTACGCCCCGGCCGTTGTACGCTCCGGCCTTCTTCAGGTGGTTGGAATGTCGAACTGAATCCTTTATTTCGCTCACCTCAAGGACACATGCCACAGTGGATAAAGGCGTTGGTTAGATCCAGTGACAGGACCCAAAGAGTGTGAGTTCAATACCCGGTTAAGGCAGTGGAGAACTTTCAGAGGGAAATTAACAGTAGATAACTGATAACTGACATCCATCAAAACATGGCACGTGGAACTAGAACAGTCTACCCCGGTGAGCGAAATAAAGGGTTCAGTTCGACATTCCAACCACCTGAAGAAGGCCGGAGCGTACAACGGCCGAAACGTTGTGATAAATATGGCGACAAAGATGAGGACAATAGTCCGAATAATGTAAATGAACCAATTTATCCTTCTCTATTGTAAAAATAAAATGCTCTTCATATAACCTATGCACACAACTTAGTAATAACATTAATATTCTTAATAAGGGATCTTATGTGTCGTCGCAACGATAATAAGCGAAATTTAAATTTAATTGTAACAAACCAAAATACTCCAAACTGTAAATGTCCTGAAAATGGATGGAACAACCAAGCGAAAAGACAATAATAATTACAATCGATTCTTGAGTCTACTTTCTAGCGAATTTTGATCACATATATAGAAGTACGAAGCATTATAAAAGAAACATTTTGAAAAATTCTTATCTTTATCCTATAGATCATATCTATCTATTTATCTATGATAAATTCAACGGCACACCTGTTTCGCAAGTGTTTCTAATGAAAATGTTCGCATCTGTCTTTTAAATCTTACAACATTATCACATTATCTTGTAGGAAAAATATACAAACACCCACCTTTCTTTCTGCGCTTATAGCGATATCACGTTGAAACACCGGTTCTCGTACGATCATCGAAGTTAAGCAACGTCGAATACAAGGTGCTATAAACTTGTACGTGCGGATGTTTTAATGTATAACGGCTCGAAATTGGAAATCAGAGTCGACTTTCAATTCAAGTCTGGTTCGTTATATTCACTTATGGGAAAGACATGAATCTAACTCTTCCCCCAGCTATGGATTAATTAGTAGGATTTGTATCAGTAAATCATTATTATCTTAAAAAAATTCTTACAATCTAAAAAAATATTTTAATATTTAGAAGTGCTCTAGGACTTCACCATACATACCAACTGAACAATACAAGCCAAGAGACCAGATATAATAATAAAATATGTTTTAACAAGTGCAGCCTGAAAGACCTGATTTGATAAATAACATGTCAGCAAAAGAACTTGAGAAACTTTTAGAGTATAGATTTATTGCCAGAGTGTGACATTTGAATATAACCATTATTCCAATAATAATAGGAGCACTGGGAGTGATTAAAAAGAATACTGATACAGACATTAAGAAAATTTCAGAAAATCCCTCACTATATGAAACTCAAAAGATTGTACTCATGACCAGCGGTCATATATGTGTCTTTTCTGTAAATATTTTCTTACTTACTGTGTCTTTTTAATAAATATTTTTATGGTAATTTCCCTCTATGGACTTTATGAGTTTAAGCGCAGTACTAGATTGGCGGCAAGGTTTCATCAATTTACACTTGAAATGGTTAGATGTAACCGTAAGTTCTATGCTAACAGCTTCTTCTATCGTATTCTTCTATTGTTTGTGGAGCTCTCTTCCGGTTTCTTGTTTTGATCTTCAAAAATTAAAATACAATATGAATCGTTATCTTCTGCCTTAATTCTTGTCCTTTTATTGTCTTTTCTGTTTACTAGTAGTTTTCTCATATTCTCCAGCACTCAGTAACCTCTTGCGTTCTAGTGGCTTTATTGACTTGTTTGGGGTGAAATGATTAATATATATATATATATCCAGCTATGCGAAACATATGTCAAGATCTACTGAATTAAGGGGCTTTCCTTATAAAACAGGGAATCGATTTATTGGACAGATAAATACGAAAAGTTTGACAGGAAAACAATAATTTTTATCTTAAACCTATTACTAAGCTTCGTTTATTATACTTCTATGCTTCCATATATATTTTAAAGAGGAAAATATAGCACAAAATTCAAATTCGCGGAAAAGAGGACTGATACACTTGCAAATTGAATTTATCTGGTAAAATTTGATTATTCGGAAAGTAATATAGCATTTTTAGAAAGGCTATAAAAACGGATGAAAGTCTAATTAATTGTTAAAAGTTATTAACCAAATACATAATTGTCATAATTAGAAATTAAAATCAGTCAGTCAGTTAATACACGCCTGGACGATCATGTATCTTTCGATACATAACCGACGAGGCAGAAGATTTTTCCCGCAATAGGTTGCCATTTCTTTCTGCTAATGAAACCAGTCTGTCCTGCTATTCAACCCATAGCTGGGGAGAAGAGACAGATTCATATCGTTACCAAGGGTATTTGTGTGTAAGTGAATATAATGAACTCGACTAGAATTCGAACTGGGCTCTCCAAGTTCTCATTCCGAGATGACTAGTCCTACCTTTTCCCACTTCTAACCTTTAAAATTTTGGATTTACAATAAAAGACAAACTTATAGACATGAATTTCGTATTTTTGAATGTCTTGCCACTAAAATGTGCCAAGACATCCAAAAATAAAATGTTTTAGGGGTCAAAACAAAGGATAATCCGAAGAAGCTCAGTGCGAGGGCTGCATCGGTTCAGGAAAAAAGAATGAATAATATTTTTTATACTATTTTTCATCTAATACAAGGCCCAAGAGCCATTCAATATAGAGTGCTACTGAATGAGGTCGCTGTAAGGGCATAAAGGGTGGAAGTAAGAAATGGATATTATGAGGATATGCAGGGTAGATAAAGCCTGACGCTAGACTTTAAGATTGTAATGATTGGGAAAACATTCTCTCGGGAGTCTGTTCGAATGTAATACGAAGGGGATATGAATGAGTCGACTCCGTGTACGTGACATGGCCGGTACTAGCTGGTGGAACTAAGGAATGTAGCTTGTTTGAACATTTGCCATGGAAATAGTTATAGAGTAGTGAGAGGCTAGCGACGTTCCGTCTGTGGGGAAAGTGGTTGTAGAAAATAGTTTATCACCCACAAGGTCATGTAAACTCGTTTTAAAACTCTATCAAGGTTGAAAAATTAAGATTGGGTAGCTCCAGGCCGGATACGGTAGCGATATTTTGTTTTTGGTCTGATGTAACTCTTGTAAAGATAAAGCATAGCAGGAGGAGTCAGGTATTTTTTTTAGAGCAGTACAAGGAACTGATCATTTTTTCGGAATCTTTAGCGAAGCTTCCTATATACAAGTTCCAACTGAGGTCTGGAGTGAACTTGCGAAGGAATCTTTTATTCGAATTTTTCTGCAATCAACATGAGATAAAATCGTAATTTGGAGACCTCCTCACCCCCGATATACTTTGCTGAATTGGGCCAACTTGGAGTCAAGTAGGTTCATAGAGTAACCAACCGTTTGTCAGTAAGATCAGATAGAATTAAATTAACACTTCACTGCTGCATTGTTATATCATTTTTGCCTGGCTGTACTGACCCATTTTTGGAAAAATAGGAGATTGCTATTTACTGGAAATAAATGAATATAAAGATGCTAACGGTGATTTCTCATGGAGGCCACCATTTTAGTTTTGTTTAGATATTCTGCAGTACAGACTAAGCTAAAGCCCCCCCCCCATGTTAAATATAATAAAAATACGCCACAAAACAGGCCGTATTTCACACTGATATATGTCTATGCTTGTTTGGAGATAACACTAAGCGCTAATTAGTTTATACCTAAAGCGATGGGGATCAGTGACGGCCCTAGGGTTACTGGCGCCCCGTGGAAACTGAACTTCAGTCCCCTTACAAGTATAATTTAGAAAAAAAAATCACAAGGAGAACAAACTGAAAATATAGAATAACGAGTTTATTACAATATACAACTTAATAGAGGATAAAGAAAACATTCATTATCCTGCCTAAAACATTTTCTAGCTTTTTCTACACCTATCGTTACAAGATCATTTTCTATTGAAAAAAATAGACCAAAGAATTTAATCTGTCTTGAGTCATGGACGACCGCAAGTATATTTTTATAAACTTTAGTTTTGGAAGATCCTAAACACATGACATGGCGACATGATGGTGCCCCGGGCGACTGCCGAGTTGCCACTATCTTTAGCCGGCCCTGCTAGTGACCGAAATTTCACGATATCTTCTTGAAAACGTATATATACGTTGGCAGCAGGTAATAAAATATCGGAAAGACGTATAAATACGACTGCACCAGTGGGAGTGTTGAAAAATATTGCTAATCTTCAACTAATCTGTCCTTTCAGGAGTGAACCACTGGTAGTTTGTTTAATAGCTATTAATAAGTTCTGAAAAGGACCTATCTCAGACCGATTTACAAGTTTGATTCGCGCATCCTGATTTCCATTAAAAAGAATGATTTTGATACTTTTAGGTAGATAAATATTTTTATCATTTGAATCAACTGTCTTCAAAGTCTATCTTGGCTGTTAGGATAGAGCCTTTTTCTGAGGCTTGATATACGTTTTCTTATTTTTAGATTTATCTGAGTAACTATTATCCTCTTCCCAATACTCTAGAGACAATCCTTTACGTGATCGTCCATCAATTTTCTGACGGCATCAGTAATAAAGTCCCGTGAGCAGAAAAAAAAAAAAAAGAAAAAAAAAAAATTAAAATATGCGAAATCAAAGTGTAAGAACCTACCTTTATTCTGGCCTGGATCTTGAAGCGAAATAATTTCCGAGTTAAAAGAATCGGACACAAACGGATCTACATCGATTTCAATGGCACCTAAAGTGCGCAAATCAAACTGCGAACTGGCGTTACTCATCAAAGTCTTACGTTTCGAGGCTTTCTGATCAGATTTCCGATTGTTTGGTTCATCATCAGAAATCCTTGGATCGATGCAGCGGCTCGGATATAATTCACTGAACGCTCGACGCACACGTCGCCATTTTCGTGTTTTCTCATCGCTATAGGGAGAAGCGTGGATTGGGTAACATTTATACATGGGACCACAATTTGACTTGCATTCCTCCATTGGGGAAAGGTCATTATTCGCGTCCGGGTTATGGATTTGCAGCGATAACTGGTTGTCGCCATTTGTGGAAATATGCTGTTGCTCGCCGGTGTTTTCGTTTTTGTAATGCTGTATGTCGTCTTTTTTCGTTTGGCCGCCTGCATTCATTCGATACATTTTACCTTTACTTACGTTGCTGGCGTGAGATTTTATATACTGCAAAGCGGAACGTTTCCATATTTTGAACGATGATCGGCTGCTAAGCTTTGGTTTGCGTTCTTCTGTTAAACCCATTGCACGCATTGTTTCGATATTGGCCTTTTTAGGGATTTTCTTTGCTCCTTCGTATTCAACGATGCTGGAGATGGAGCTTCCATCTTCGTGCACCGGGAGTGAGAGCGACAAGGAAAGAGGTGGGGAAGAGCTACTCCTCCGGCCATTATGTAACGGAGTGCTTATTTCAGTCGGTGCTGATGTTGACGATAAAGATGGCGGTGGTGATACGTCTTTAGTTGTTTCTTGGCGCAACGAAGTTTTTCTCGAGCTTTTGTCTAAAGATTTCCGTTTCTTTAAACCTCCGAATTTACCCTTCCCATTCTTTACAGGCGCTATTTCAGTTGAAGGCTGCTGCTTATTTAAATCTTTTTCGGGTGAAGCTGATTCAGCACCCGAGTCACAAAGATCCGCATCTACTTCATTGTGTTTTTTAGTTTCATCTTCAGCGTCGGTATTTCCATCTGAAGGACTGTAAAATTAAATATGAGAAATTAATGTTAGTAATAAACACAAACATCATCTCAAACTGAAATAAAATATAAATGAAATCAACCATATTTGCTTATGGAACAAAAATGATGGACGCCATATTTGAACACAAACTTCTAAACATTTTGTACGTATAAAAAACTAGCAGTAGATCCCGGCGTTGCCCGGGGATATAACAGTAAGAGATAGATCAAGTATCCACCATCATAAAGACTGAAAAATAAAATTGACAAAGATTATTAGGTTGACGGACACGCATGTCTTAATTAGATTTTTTTTTTTTTTTTTACGAATTGGTCAAACCCAAACTCAAACAAAAACATTGTTTTCAATCGTTATGAGTCTCCCGATTGAATAGAATAATTTTATAAACAATTGTCTTGTAAGTGGAATTTTTAAAGCATTCTGAATGTAAAAATAAAGAAAGAAGTGTGCAAGACAATAAGAAACACTACATGCCAAAAAAAAAAAGAGCGAAGTTTTGTTGAAATCGGTTGAAAAATGTAGGTAGCCTTTCTGTAATCTTTTAGTTTTACAATTTATGATTTTTACTTATTGAATACAGTAAAAAAAATTGCATATTTTGCTTGTGGTGATTCATAATTAGAATTCTGATTTGAATATATTTTCCACTCGTTGTTTCTAATACAAAAAATATTAACTTTATTTGGGTTTATTTATTATGATCTAACAAATCTTATTCATTTAGTAGCCTTTCTGTATTAATAATATTTTACAATTTATGATTTTTACTTATTGAATACAGTAAAAAAATTGGACACCATGTGTATTTAAAGTAGTTTCCCGTTCCGGTTATTATTTTTAGTTAGGACTTGTGTATGTTTAGATTTCATTATCTTTCCCTAAAAGTAAAGAATTTATCCGATGTTTGTATTCGTACAATCAGTAGAGATCGTTTGATTATTGTTTAAGGTTGACGGACACGCATGTCTTAATTATTATTTTTATTTTTTTTAAATAATTGTCTTGTAAATGGAATTTTTAAAGCATTCTGAATGTTAAAAATAAAGAAAAAGGTGTGCAAGAGAATAAGAAACACTACCTGCCAAAAAAAAAAAGTGAAGTTTTGTTTTATCGGCTGAAAAAATATAGGAAATCCGCTCCCATATTTAAAGGAACCCACACACACAAACAACCCGATGTGAGTTGTCCCCCTTCCATTTTCACGATGTCTCTTAATCGTGTTTTCAAATTGATTTTGTGCAAAAACAATTATATTTTCCCATTTTTGGCGTTGTTAGAACCACCACAAGGTAATTTTATGTAGTCCTGTGAAGTTTTGTTGAAATCGGTTGAAAAATGTAGGAAATCCGATCCAATATACAAACGTTACACACACACACACACACACACACACACACACAATCTGCGTTTTATAATAAGTAAGATGTCACAAATAAAATATAACCTTATTCTTTGGGTTCACTTTAATATTCAGTCATTTATGGTATTGGCTGTGAAAGCGGAATCGGAATGCCGAGTTCAAATTGAGGCCTACGTAGTGGCGTTCACTTTCGCAAAATATCCTTGGGAAAGCTATGTATCTATTATGTCTTCTACCAGATATGACTTAAATAGCAGCGCATGTTGGCTTTCTAGAATATAGGAAAAGGAAAATTCTGTGTTTAAACGAGAAGAAAGGGTGTTTTGAGATTTAGTGACACACTGTGCAACCATTTTTCCGTTAACAGTCTGTAGTAAAAACAGAACCAGTGAATAAGCCTATATCAAAGCTTTATTGCACGTTACTCTGACTACTCGTCTACTGACGGATTTTACAGTGAGCTTTTTATACCTCCTAGATCTTAAGGGGAGGTAACTGATAATTTTTCAGTACACAGTCATTACGAGAAATATGGCTGGTTCTACACAATGTTTCACCACTTTTATCAAACACGTGTGGGTAGCAGTTCAGTTCTAGAATTGAAATGTTAGGCACTCATGCGACAAAATCAACGTGAGAGTACACACACAAAGACACACATACATACATAGATATATATACAGCGGGGGACAAATATTCGTACACATAAAAAAAAATTTAATTTATTGTATTTCCAACTAATGTATAAACATGCTTAACTGTACACAGATGCATAATAACTAAATATGCACAGAAAACAAAAAAAATGAACTAATAGGAATAAATCAACTTAATAAAGTATTAAATGAATATTATGTATTCTTTTTTGTATTGTACGAATACTTTTTACACCCATTAAAATGGATAAATTGAATTTATTTCTATTAAATCTAATTTTTTTGTTTTCTATGCATATTTAGTTATTATGCATCCGTGTACAGGTAATCATCTGGAAAGTATGTTTATTCATTAGTTGGAAATACAATAAATTAAAAATTTGTAGGTGTACGAATATTTGTTTCCCCAACTCTGTGCGTGTATATATATATATATATATATATATATATATATATATATGATTAAACTTAAGGTTCTATTTAATAAAACTTGTTTGATTGAATTATTACGCTGAAACCTCCCGACGAATGAAGCGAACAATTACGGAAAAGTTCGTCTACGAAACTACGGAGTTGAGGTGCTGAATATAATATCTATCAGCAAAGTAATGTTTTATTTCTATTAATCATATATAAAAAAATAAATAAAATAGAACTTGCACCAATGAAAAGAGCATATAAAAAAAGAAAAATCGAGAAGTATAAGCTGATAATTGCTGATATCCAGTGACGACTGGACGGTGTAATTCCTGGAGAGTCTGTCTACGAAACAATGGAATCGGGATGCTGAATGTAACATCAATAAACTAAGTAAGAAACGTTTACACACACACACACACACACACACACACACACACACACACACACACACACACACACACACACACACACACACGTGGGGTGAAAAAATCAATATATATATATATATATTAATTGAGAGAGAAACAGCAAACGTTTTTGATTATAATGTGGATTTGTTTTAGTGTATATATTATATTTTATTCATATTTTTTATACACGTGTTTCCAGTCTCTTCTTCAGGCAAATATTAAAGGAATTAATTTTTAAAGGAGTAAAATTTCCTTATGTCTTTTAAAGTTTTATTGTTCATTTTCTGTACTTTGTAGTGAGCCTTGATCTCATTTTTTCGCAAAAATGAATTTCTACCTAAGCCGTATTAAAATCATTAGGTTTGGTCTTAGTGGTGGCGATGACAGATGGGTTGAGGATAGATGCCCCCTATCCCCATATCACCCTTGAGACTGTCAAATCTATTTCCATTATATATATATATATATATATATATATATATATATATATATATATATATATATGCACATAGTAAGTAAGTCCTAAGAGAATATGCTAAGAAGATACACAGGAGAAAAAGAACTCAATGGTAAAGTGCCAGGTCATTGAAATTGACGGAAGATTGCGTGCATGCGCATGGACCTACTAGTACTTATCGATCAGTGTACACCTTAAAATGATTAAAGAATATATATATATATGTCTGTGTGTGTGTGTATGTGCGCTTAATATTTTAATATTTTTATTATAATTTTCCAATTTTTGAATAAGTTGTTATACAGCTGAATCTGGGTCAAAATTCTGGATTAACTGTCCAAAGTTAATGTTTTTTTGTTCGAGTACTTAACAACTGTCTATCTAGGTCATTATCAAGAACGAGATGTTATCAGCATCATAGCCAAAAGGTAAATATTACATGAATAGTGTATTAATAGTGCATATAGTATTTTATGTTCATGGTAAATAGTATATACTGGTTTATACGAGTAGTAATCGGTAAAAAGTTCAGTTTTACTACTTGAATTTTCTGATGAATAATAATTCTTAAGTTAAGACGATAAGCTCCACTCCACGACAATACTCTCTTAATGCATAGTATTTGAGCTTAAAAAAAAAATAACAAATTATTGCAATAACAATCATAAATATGAATGCAGGTCATTTTTTAAAGAAGTAAAAGGGTACAAATGAAAAGATTCAAAATTGACAAAATTTTCCATTTCCCTGAAGTCCATGAGAATGTTATCGACTCCCCTTTCTTTCTTTCCCTTCTTTTCACTTCTCTTCCCTTCAACGAAACAGCGTCTATGATATATCATTTTCTTCCGTCTTTCCTAGCAATAAAAATGGAATGGCCCATTATTTGTCTTAGATAATGACAGGGTGCAACGCACATGCTATTTTTCTAACGGCAGAACAAGCAGAATTATAATAATTATAGCGACGTTGGAAATTAGCCACACTTAATATAGTAAATAAATTTCCAATAATTATGATAAAACTGCAATTTATTTACATTTTTATAGCAAACGTGTGTTATAAAAGTGTAAGCTAATTTTGGGGTTCGTTTCTTTTTACGATATCTTATAAAATTTGAAATTCTTGCAGGAAAAGTTATATATTTGATATAAAAATACATATTTTACTAACTGTCACGACAGGAGAAAATGAAGAATAAGTGCACTGACTTAAGAATTGAGAAGCTGACGCATATTTTCAGTCGTCACTTATCGCTTTGGGGAAATTGAGTCACTTAGCGTAGATTTGTGTAGGCGAGCTGGCATTTTGTATTAACTAATCACAGCCTCTTGCAAAGGTTCGTATTTATTTGTTTTCCGTAGATACAAAGTAAAAGATACTCAAACGAACAGCCATTGGTTTAAAATTCTCTTTTTATAACACGTGATCTGTTTTGAACGGTATCCGCAAATTGCTTATATGTTAGATCTTATTTTTAACGGCTTTTTATTGGTCTCTGCCTATTTGTTGATGGTCCCCATTTTTGTCTGGCTTTTTGACACGCGTCTGTAAACTTTATAACACTAGTTTTTATTATTATTATTTTTAGATGTTTAAATATTGCGAAAATCTCATATTTTTTGCTATTTGTGTCAGTTACACAACATTTCTGACTATTTATTCTACAGCCTG